CCCATAAGCTGTTGGATGTGGGGAATGCTCGGGTAAACCAGAAAAGTTTGGGTAACCGTATCCATACTACGCTCCGACATCCATTCAAACTTTACGAACCTAGGTGATAGTATCCCGATAAAAGAGCTGATGAAGAGGATGAGCTAAACAGGGAGTCTACTGGACTCAGCTAGCGGCTATAATGGATGACTTAATAATATTGTTGGAATCTCATGCAACCTTGTGCATTGATCTAGCTCAATATGGTAATTGTTATTAAAAGGAAAAAAAAAACATGAGCAATTTTACAGATAATTTTGCTTCATGATGTGATTGTTTCATAGTGAAGTACAAAAACTGACAGCAAATTAAACTATGAAACAAAAAGAAAGAAAAAGAAAGAAATAAGGTTTTGATGTGAGAGACCGTAACAGCTGAAGCCCACCGCTAGTAGATATTGTCCACTTTTTTCCGTTACGTATCGCCGTCAATCTCACGGTTTTAAAATGCGTCTACTAAGGAGAGGTTTTCACACCCTTATAAAGGGTGTTTTGCTCTCCTCCCCAACCGATTATGATCTCATAATCCACCCCTTTAGGGCCCGGCGTCCTTGCTGGCTCTCATTCCCTTCTCCAATTGATGTTGGACCCTCCAATCCACCCCCTTTCGAGATCCAGCGTCCTTGTTGGCACACCACCTCGTGTCCACCTCCCTTCGAGACTCAGCCTCCTCGCTGGCACATCGTCCGGTGTTTGGCTCTAATACCATTTGTAACAGCCCAAGTCTACCACTAGTAGATATTGTCCTCTTTGGACTTTCCTTTTCAGACTTCCCCTCAAGGTTTTTAAAACATGTCTGTTAGGGAGAGGTTTCCACACCCTTATAAGGAATGTTTCGTTCTCCTCTCCAACTAATATGGGATCTCACAGAGACATATAGCTATGTACTATGAGGAACAGTCGAGTATGATGTGATTATGTAGTGATTAAAGAAATTGGAAATATTTACTGACCTCTTTTATCTTGTTCACTTTGTCTGAGCAGACGGGATGAACACTAACGAAATCCGTACCGTACACGTGATCTTCAATAGTCAAATCTTCAGAAAATTTTTAAACCGGAGCAACAAACGAGCCTTTGCCTACAAGTCCCAAGTTCGTTTCATTCAAAATCACGAATCAAAAGAGAAAAACTATATGAAAAGTCAGTTCTTCCAACACTTCAATTAGCCAAAGCAAAATGAGTAATGCCCTTGGTAAATTTTACCAGTGCAAAGTCCCAGGAGTTTTCGCCTTCTTAAGCTCACCATAATTTGCTTCAATCTTGTTATCAAGTGGTATTGTTTGGTTGTTTTTCCTGGATCAGCTCACATCTAGAGCAGACAAGCAGAACAAACTCAATCAGGATCCAAAAACATAGGCCAACATGTAACTACATAATGACAAACAATAAACGGATCGATAAGGCTCAAAGAACAAAGCTGGTTCGATCGTAACGATGATATAGAATGTGAGTTTCTAAGAATGACTCGTCTATTTGAAATGACTTTTTAAGTACTTAAAAAATGTGTTTAAATATATTCCTGATCCTAAATAATAGTAGTGGTTAACATCATTTCGTCTTAACTGAAGCAATCTGAATGGAGTTCAGATGTGCAACATAGGGTACGACTACAAAATTCAAGCATCATTTGTGAATTTGTAACACCTCAAGTCCAGCGCTAGAAGATATTGTCCTCTTTGGGCTTTCCCTTTCGATTTTTAAAACACGTTTGCTAGGGAAAGGTTTCCACAACCTTATAAAGGGTGCGTTGTTCTCCTCCCCAACCAATGTGGGATCTCACAATCTACCCCCCCTTGGGACCCAATATCCTCGCTGGCACTCGTTCCCTCCTCCAATCGATGTGGGACCCCCCAATCCACCCCCTTTCGGAGTTCAGCGTACTTGCTAGCACACCGCCTCGTGTCCACCCCTCTTCAGGGCTCAGCCTCCTTGCTAGCACATCACCCCGTGTCTGGCTCTGATACCATTGGTAACAACCCAAGTCCACCGCTAGCAGATATTGTCCTCTTTGGGCTTTCCCTTTTTGGGCTTCTCCTCAAGGTTTTTAAAACGCATCTACTAGGGAGAGGTTTCCGCACCCTTATAAAGGGTGCTTTGTTCTCATCTCCAACCGATGTGGGATCTCACAATCCCCCCCCTTGGGGCCCGGCGTCCTCGCTAGCACTCGTTCCCTTCTCCGATCAATGTGGGACCCCCTAATCCACCCCTTTTGGGGTCCAGCTTCCTTGATAGCACAACGCTTCGTGTCTACCCCCTTCGAGACTCAACCTCCTCACAGGCACATCACCCAGTATCTAGCTCTGATACCATTTATAATGGCCCAAGTCCACCGCTAGCAAATATTGTCCTCTTTGAGCTTTCCCTTCTAGACTTTCCCTCAAGGTTTTTAAAACACGTCTATTAGGGAGAGGTTTCCACACCTTTATAAAGAATGCTTCGTTCCCCTCTCCACAACCGACGTGGATCTCACACAATCAATAACCTAAATGAAGTACCAGTTTAAACTATTATCAACCAAGAAAGCAAATAAAGAGCAACATATAGCTAACATTTGCAGGCAATAGCAGCTTAAATTGAAAAAAAAAACAAACATAAACACAAATTTGGATGGCTCCATCAACAAACTTTCCAGTCTAATCAAATCTAAGCCGTTCATCCAAATTGAAGTAACCCAAGTCAACTTTAATGACAAAAACCTTCTTCTTCTTCTTCCATTCATATCAAAAACTCCTCTCCCAAACATTGAACTCAAAAATTAATGTAAAAACAAGGAAAAACCTCATCAAATTCGGCGGTGGAATTCTCAAACTCATCCATCTAAACAAATCCAATACTAAACAACAACAAGAAACAACTCATCGGCATTCGATTCTGTCCGTCAACGGCGAATGCCGATGACCGGAGAGCGAGCAAAATGCGATAAAACAGAGAGAGGACGGCGTTCATACCTGAGCGGAGGCGGTGGAGAAGAACGATTGAAAAAATTTAAAGAGGGGATTGAGATTATGAAGAGAAGGGAAGGTGGTGAGCATTTACAACGGCCGTTGAACTTTACAATGGATATATATATATATAGAGAGAGAGAGAGAGAGAGAGAGAATCGGTTCTAGAGAGAGAGAGAGAGATTACACTTTTTTGAAAGATTTTTCAACCATTATGCATATGAATGCTGGAAATTTTCCAACATTTTATCTTCCAATTATGCCCTCCACTAAAAAAAATCATTTTTATCATTAAATTTTTTAAAAAATGTTCTTAAAAACCATATTTCAATTGAAAAAAAAAATAGTATCGTTGTTAGTATTTATTTTATTTTTAAAGATATTGTTGTACCCTTTATCGTGAGTCTGAATCGTCCTCTCCGTATGTTGCTAAGGTACCGAGGAAGCTACACGTGACAATGATATAATTTTGTCGTGTAGACTGAGTGGAAATGGGCGTAAACTGAGCCAACAAATATCTTATATTTAAGTTACAGTGAGTTCCATGATACTTGACATATACTTATTTACTTGAAGTCAAGGGAAAGGGTGTTTTTGTAATTTGCGCAACGAATTGGTAAGAGAGGACATATTGGAGATTTAAACAAATGAGGAAGGGTAGTTGTGGAAAAAAAATAATACGGTGAATTTAAAGTATTCTTCCCATATGCTGCTGAAGTACCGAGGAAATTACACGTGACAATGATATAATTTTGTCGTGTAGACTGAATGGAGATGGGCGTAAATTGAGCTGACAAATATCTTATGTTTAAGTTACAGTGAGTTCCATGGTACTTGTCATATACTTATTTACTTGAAGTCAAGGGAAAGGGCGTTTTCGTAATTTGCACACGAATGGGTAAGAGAGGACGTATTGGGGATTTAAAGAAATGAGGAAGGGTAGTTGTGGAAAATAAATTAATAGGGTGAGTTTGAATTATTCTTCCCATATGCTGCTGAAGTACCGAGGAAACTACACGTGACAATGATATAATTTTGTCGTGTAGATTGAGTGGAGATGGGCGTAAACTGAGCCAACAAATATCTTATATTTAAGTTACAGTGAGTTCTATGATACTTGACATATACTTATTTACTTGAAGTCAAGGGAAAGGGCGTTTTCGTACTTTGTGCAATGAATGGGCAAGAGAGGACATATTGGAGATTTAAACAAACGAGGAAGGGTAGTTGTGGAAAAAAAAAGGATGAATCTAAATTATTCTTCCCATATACAAAGTACCGAGAAAACTACACGTGACAATGATATAATTTTGTTGTGTACACTGAGTGGAGAGGGGGCGTAAACTGAGCTATGAGTTCAACGGTAATTGACATGTACTTATTTACTTGAAGTTAAGGGAAAGGGTGTTTTCGTAAATTGCGCAACGAATGGATAAGAGAGGACATATTGGAGATTTAAATAAATGAGGAAGGGTAGTTGTGGAAAATAAAATAAGAGGGAGAGTCGGTAGGGAGCTAAAAGACACCGACGAACCATTATACTCGTATTAATATATTAGTATACGTGCTCGAGATATATCTTGTGTTTTTATTAAAATTAAAATAAACATAAAAACCAAAGGCTAAAATAAATATTTCATGGAGATGAAATTAGAATTTAAATATTTTATTTATTTAGTTTTGAAATTAAAATGTAAAATATTGAAATATCATTTATTTTTAGTGCTGAATATTGTTATTAAAGTATATATTTTAAATATCTAAATTTAGTCGAGTATGTTTTTAATAAATATTAAAACTAGTATTTATTATTGTAATTAATAAATAAAATAAAAATAGGAACCATATTTGTAGCATTAAAAAATTAATTATAATTTTAGTATCCTTCAATTTAAAAATTGTATATTTAATTTTTTTTATTCAAATAATTTAAGATTTTATTAAATAAAAAAAATTAAAAATTTGAAATTTATGGAGTATTTAAACGCTCGTTTACCGCCTATTTCTCTAGATACCGATATTCATACAGACGAAAGTTGCAGATTTGGAGGGCGGCGACAGACTAGGGTTTTTGCTTGGAATATTGTTGCTGTTTCTCCCAATTGCTTCACGATGATCTACGACGTCAACTCTCATCTGTTCCGCTCTTTCCTCAGCCAGAAGGGAGGAGGTGCCTACGACAAAAGGTATGCGATGCTCTTACTTTCACCATGTTTACAATTAGAAACGTATTTGTGGAGATATATATATATATATATATATATATATTTTTTTTTTTGTAAAGTAGTTCGTTAACTTGATTTTTTCTCTTTTCTGTAACTGTCTATTTGTTTGATTTTGGATTCTAGGTTGTTTTGATTTTCGTTTACTTTATTTTGCTTTTGATTTGGCTCTGTAAGTTGTCTTATTTGTCTGCTATTGGCTTGTTTGATTGTGCTGCCTTTTGGCTTTCTTTAGATGTTAGTAAATTGATCTAGAGGCTCTAGAAGTTTAGGTTGTTGAATGGATATCGAAATTTGTTTGAAATTGATCTTGCGAACGGAACTAACAGCGTTTGAATGCTCTTAGAATTGGTAGCTTTTATTTGGCCATTTAGTTCTCTATTCGTTCTTCGTCTTGCTTTTATTATCGATGTTTGCTCTCGAATCTTCAAAGATTTCTGTACTTCAAGCGTACTTGTTGCTTGCTAATGAATAAAAGCATGAAGCATTATTTAAAAAAAACATTCTATTTTGAAGCGTCATGCAGATTTAATTGCTATGAATGATCCAATAGAGTTTTGACGGGCGAACTATACCAAACTTTTACGGAAAGCTTCTTAGCATAGTTTATTTACTTCCGTTCTAGATTCCTTGAGACTTTTGGATTTGCCTGTTTTTAACTCGGTACATAGTTACCGACAATAGGTTTTGCAATTTCTTTTTAAACTGTATGTTCTTTAAGATTTTCAAGTGTAAATTAAACTTTCTTTTGGAATCTTCTGTTGCATGAAACAACAGACATTTAACAGCACCGCCTTTAGCATTTAGCAATATTTTTCTTGAATTAATTTTAGTGGCTGCTTTTATCTTGGTGTAAATGTTACTACACTGCCTTTAGCAATTTTAATCTCAATGATCTTTTGGTCCTTTTTTTTGGTAATTTCTTTAGCCTGGAGCCTAGGTTTCCTCCCTTTTCGTTATATTTCATACTACCAATCTGTTTCATATTAAAAAAAGGAAAAAAAAAAAAAAGGAAGAGAGAGAGCAAAAAAAGTGCATATATTAATCCTTTGTTTTATTTAGAAAAAAGAAAAAAGCGCATGACCGACTTAACTATCTTTATTTTAGATGTTTTGGATCTGGCCTGGCTTACCGTTTATTCTATGCGATATTAATTCCATGGTTTAAAGATTATGATTCAACTGTAGTGAATATCTTAATAGATGAAATCTAAAGGTTAAATATTGTACCCTTCATTCCTTTTGTTTTACTCTCTCATTATTCAACTTCCATAATATCCATAATTGTTGTTGCTAATGATTAAGGTAGCATTTAAAGGGGGAAATTAAAAGTAGTAATAACATAATATATTCTGTATTCGTTACTCAATTCTCTTCTCTGTTCTGTTTGTGAATATTTTTATAATTACTCACCGAGCCACATTTTAATTAATTGGAGTCCCTTGTGGGCTATTTAGGCCTCTCCTTTTTATATGACTGTATTCTTTCATTTTGTCTCAATGAAAGTTCGATTTTTACATAATACAAGAAGAATATATTTTGAATTTTGGAATGTATTTTCTCGATTTGGAATAGCTACATTGTCGTGTTATAAATGAGCATTTGTAGCCTTATCAGTTGTTTGTGATGTTTACTTCAGAAAAATTGAGGAGCAGAAGCCCAAAGAGCAAAGATTCAAGGCAAATGAGAACAAGCCTGTCATGACAGAGTAATAACAACGTGAATATGTAGGTTGTAGATCATATTGTAGTCAAGTTTGAATTGTTTCAATAGAACCAGTTTTCATATTCCTTGTATGACTTTATTAACGTTCTGCCATATGGAGGCTTTGTGCTTGCAATGAGCAAGTTTATGTCAATTCATGATTTTATAATCCAAGCATATCTTTCTTTTTATGATTTTATTTGTTGGCCAAGCCTTTTATGTCAATTTATGAGTGTTTTTGTCACTGGTAAATGCTTTGCTAGTAGTACGGTTGATGTTATGATGAAACGAAGGTTTGATATCTTTAATAATTCTTCATTGGGGTCTGGTGGATGATTGGAGAAAAGATGATAATTGGGTGGATTCATCCTTTCCATTCCTTTTTGACTTTTAATTGAACGCAGGACAAACAGGAATATAATTATATAACATTTGCATTGGACAAATACAAATGGAGAGAAATCTTCCTTCTTGGGCGACGGGAACATATCTTAGCATTGTCAACTTTGGTGGGCCCATCCCCGTAAAGCATCCGAAGCACCATTATTGCCGTCTTGGCAATGGCAGTACACAAGCATTGTAAGTAACAATATTTATCTACAAATAAACCTCTCTCGTGACTTTAGAACTTCTCTTTTCTTGTTTGTACTTTTGTTATTGAATTAAATACATATGTCTGCATGTAAATAAAGGGGATGGGAAGGCAGTCATTAGGGGTAAACGAAAAAGAACCATCTTCAGTTTTTAGAATCTTTACCTCCTTTCCCATTCATGAAGAACTGCCATGGACCGTAAAGACGTGTCTAATTTGCACCGTCTGTTGCAAAGGCATGCACGCAAGTAGCCATAATCAGTAGTTGCATTATCATGATGTTGTTCCTTTTATAGCCCTCAAAAGTCCTATTCCCACACTACAACAATCCCACTTCCATAGGGTTTGCTTTAGGGCTTGAGTTATAGTGGATGAATCCAATCCAATAACAAGAAATTTCTGAGATTTAGCATTAGGTTATGACTTAAAAGACTTTTCAGAGGGGGGAGGGTGTTCTTTTATTTAAATGGCTCTATCTCTAAATTTTTAAAATATTTAGCAAGTGGTCGAATGTTTAATTGTGTCTTTTAGTTATGGGATATAAATTTAAAATTTATATTTAATAGAGTTATAAACGTTGAATTTTGTATTTAGTAAATCTTTACCTTTTAAAAAATAATGATTAATTTAAGGACTTGTTAGATAGTTTTAAAATTTTTTTTATATCCCTTGGACATAAAATTGAAAGTTATTTATTAGACGATGTTAGTAACTAAAAAGGGATTAGGTTTATAACTTAAACACATATATCCCATAACTATAGTTTTTTTTTTTTTTTAAACTCGTTTCTGCCACCCTCCTATATAAGATTATTTTATGTGGAGATGCAGTCTCTTTCTAGGTCTGGTGTCCACAAACGTGTCTCATTTTTGCATTCACAATTCTGACCTTTCCGTTTTTTTCTGTTGTTTTTTCGCAAGCCTTTTTTTCCTTCTCTTTTCCCCATTTCTCTTCCTAAATACTGTTTGGTGGTTTTCGAAGATACAAGCTCGATGTCAATCCATTTGATAACAGCTCGATGTCTAAACTTTTAGAAGTGTATGAGGTCTGAAGTTTATCAAATGTGGCCTACCCATTTTTCTAGTTTAATCGGTTGTTAGAAATTTATGAAACTCACCGTTTCTATTGAGGATGGTTGAGAGAGGAGTCTCATATTGACTAATTAGAGGGAAGATCATGGGTTCATAAGTAAGGAATACTATCTCTATTGAAATGGGTTCATAAGTAAGGAACACTATCTCTATTGAAATGAGTTTTTTTTTAGAAAATTAAAAGCAAAACCATGAGATTTTTTATGTTCAAAGTAGACAATATCACTAGGCTAATGATTTTACAATAAAATTACTATGATTTGATTTGATCCATAGTCTTTAAATATAGTCATAAAATTACTATGATTTGATTTGATCCGTAGTCTTTAAATATAGTCATATTAGGCCGTTTGAAGTGGTAAATCAATATGAAAGGGCATAAATGTAGGGTTGGTAGTTATGGCAAGTGCTAGAAAGCTAGAAAGCTATTTCAACAAACAAAAGGCTAAAATTACTGCCAATGGATTGCTTTAATTTAACCTTTTGCCTTAAAGTTGAACAATAATGGTATTATAATGTTCCTAATTTATGGGTTTGTCATCTCAATAATCATAGCCACTGTAATCATATGAATTCTTCCGAATTGAAACCTCAGTTTTTCAATCATGCCACAATTTTAGTCTTTTATTTCAGAAAGTGTAGTAATCTAAGTTGGTTGATTTCAACCATTTTTTTTCTTATTTTATTTATTATCCATCTGTAGGAAGTGAGTTCATTCTTTTTAGTGTGTATTTTTTTCAGGTACATGAGATTCGTTCTCTTATCTTAATTCTCTTCTTTTCGTGCCATAGTTCTTAACCAATTGAATTATGATTATTAGAATTTTAAGGAAGTTCCTTCTCGGTTTTGCATGTCAATTGCAACTACTCTACTTGGTATCATCCCACCCAAACCTATACGTTATTTCACTAACAATCATTTAATTCTTGAAACAGGTTGACCTACGGCTATTCTGACACATACCCTAAGAACTTGATCATGGACCGAAATAGAATGACCTAACTATAAGGTCGAGTCGGGCTTTTCTTTCTTTACACTCTCTAGAGTGGCATGGTAACCACTAAACATTTTTTTCGATAACCATGGAAGAGTAAAAAATTAGAGTGAAAGAAAAAGATCATGGAGAGGATCATAATAATTTGGTAGTTAGATTGTAAAGGTCTGCCATTTTCTTTCCATTGTTCTTTGCCTCCTCTTTTCTCTCTCTCTGTTTCAGTCTCTTTCCTTTATTCACGCCGCTTTCTCTCCCAATTCTCACAGTTCCTGTCTCTCTCCTCTCCATTTCATTACCAAAATCTACTCTCCCACTGAACTTTCCCCCAACAAACTCCACCATCGCCATTGTTACAGAGCTTCAAAAACAGAGAGAAAAAAAAGGAAAGAAATCATAAACAATGTCTGAAATTTCCATCTCCAAGAAAGCATTTGGATTGTCCTGTGTCTCTCATTTCTTCCATTTCTTCTTCTTCCTCCTCTCTCACCCTCTTCACTTGTCTTTCTTCATCTTCTTCTTCCCTTACTTTCTCAAGCTTCTTTCCTTTCTCTCTCCTCTCTTCATCACCACTTTTCTCCTCCTCTTTGCATTATTCTCCCTGTTTGATCATCATCTTCATCACCATTTTCATCATTTTGCAGATTCTTCCAAAATGGGCTTTCTTGCTACTACTTACCATGTTGTTTTTGACAGTTTACGCCCGAGAACACCAGACGAATCCCCCATGGAAGAGCTTGAAGCTTACAAAATCGTGTTTGAGGCTTACACTTTTGGCTCTGAACAAAACCCATATGAACACAGTCTCCAAGAAGTAGAAGTGGAAGTCGATTTTCAAGAACCCATGGAGCATTTTCCCGAGAAAATCAAAACTCTCCCGGAAAATCCCCTGATAATAGCAGAAGTTGAAGCAAAAACAGAGGAATTACAAGAAGCCAAATTCGAAAACAGAGACGAAAAGCATGAAATCATGAATGATTTGAAAGAATCATCGAGTTCTTCAAGATCTGAATCGAGTCCTCCATGGAGTTCACCAGGGAGTTTTGGTAGAGATTATTCATCATTAGGAAGCTACGGATCGATGAGGAAAGAGAAAGAATGGCGAAGAACACTCGCCTGTAAGCTCTTCGAAGAGAGGCACAGTTCAGAGGAAACAGAAGGGATGGATTCACTATGGGAAACATACGAGAAGAAGGAGAAAGACAATAGAAAATCCAAGAAAGAAGAAGAAGAAGAAGAAGAAGAAGAGGAAGAAGAAGGGCAACTTTGCTGCTTACAGGCACTGAAATTCTCGGCGGGGAAGATGAATTTGGGAATGAGGAGGCCAAATCTTATGAAAATGACCAAAGCTTTGAAGGGATTTGGATGGTTGAGTAGAAAAGGAAGTAGAAAGAGATTGATCCATTGATGAATTGTTTTGGGTTTTTTTTTTCTTTTTGGTTCTTCATGTTCTTCATCATAATCATTGTAATCCTCCATTTTTTTCTTTTGTTGGTTTGGTTTTCGTTTTGATTCAACTGTTCAAATAGTGAAGGTATATAATTTTTGTTCTTGTTGCTAATTGGATATCTATCTAAAATCTAATCTAACCCATTTTTTTGTTTCTTCTTTTTACCTTTATGATTCTTGTTTTGTTTTCTTTCTTTTTGGCTTAATCTCTGTTTTTGGTGTATCTTATCAAATTTGAGTCATTTTTATTGGTAAATAAACCCTTGATTAATTAGTACGCGGCTAGAATTGAAAAACTTATCAAAGCTTAATACGATCGATCTTGTAAGCTCGATCTTGTTTGTAGATTGTGGAGTGGTTCGTTATATATCAACAATATATAATAGGAGACAATAAATGTTATATATCAACAATATATAATATATAATAGGAGACAATATAATATTTACTAGTGGTGAGCTTGAATTATTACACGAGAAATCAAACATTAGAAAAATAAAAGATGAGAAAATATAGAAGAAAGATACTTCATACTCAAAGGTAAGAAATCTATAGAAAAAGTATAGTCTTTAGTTTTCATTTCCATTCATTTTTAAAATTATTTTGAAAGTTCTAACGATAAAAATGAAATTCTTTTTTATTGTTACAATGATGAATAGTAAATGGATCTGTTTGAAAATAAATGAATTGTTTGTAGAATATTATTCTCGTTAGACTCCAATCTAACTAAAAAAACAAGGGGCAAAAAGCTAAAAGATTTGGGATCGAGAGAGCTGCTTGCGGATCCCTATCTTGCCAACGTTAAATTATTCAATGAAGTCGACCAAAATCACCAACATAGTGATGGTATCGAAGTTTCAATATCAAAAAAAGATGTTAAGCTGTAATGATCTAAATCAGATACATGAATATCAAAAAAAGATGTTAAGCGGTAATGATCTAAATTAGATACATGGATTCATCTAATTGAAGAAGGTACGATTCCATTAGTTGGAAGAACAGTTATGTGTTTCAAAGGATGAGAAACCTCACCGCCGCCGCCGTGCCTAACGAACTCGGCTGGTGAAAAGGATTCTCCATGGCAGACACACAAAATACTGACCTCCGAGTTTGAGTATCTATACAAGAAGCCAGTGGTTATGGTTTTGGTGCCATTGGGAGCAATCCCTGTGGTTGAAACGCAGGGCATTTGCTCAAAACTTTGGACATGGCGGCTCTGGATTTCAGGCTTTGGAGGCTTTCCATTCACCATTGAAGAGTTCTTGATTCTGGGTTTGGAAACATGGGATTCAACGAATTTCTCACTGCAAGCCTTTGGTTTAACATGATTCTTAGATGAGGAATTACATGAATTGCTTCTGCTACTAACTCCTGGAAGAACATGAACAAGAACACAACTCATTAAGAACATGAACTAGAATGATCTACTTGAAAAGCAAAATGGAAATCAAATGGTTTAGATTCGACACGTTCTACAAAATCTATGTCGTTAGAAATCACGAGCTTTCACAATAATATGATATTGTCCATTTGAGCATAAGCTCTCGCGGAGCCTCGTATCAAGGACTCCCTCCCAACAATTTTCACCTTGAACAAATTATGCTAGGGAGCCTCTTCGAGGCCTCTATGGAGCCCTCGAACAGTCTCCTCTTAATTAAAGCTCGACTCTTTCTCTGGAGTCATCGAACAAGGTGCACCATTTGTTCGATATTTGAGTCACTTTTGACTACACCTTTGAGGGTCACAACTTCTTTATTCGATGAGGATTGTATTGACATGGTTAGGCTAAGGGCATCGTAATTATAAGCTCTCGTGGCTTTATTTTGGGTTTTCCCAACCAGCCTCGTAACAATAGAGATGTATTTCTAAAGCTTAAAAGAAAATACCTTCATGAGAGGAAGAACTGTGATAATTATCAGAAATAACAGAGGAACTGCAAACAGGGGAGGATCCAGAAGACCCAGTTTTCCTGTTCTTGCTTCCACCAACATCGGGAACACTCCGGCAAGCCACCGCCGGCTGATGGAGGGTTCGCTCACCGACGGCCCAGTACGGCGTCAGGCAGGGAAACGGATAGCCATAGCCATTGAGAAACGGCACGTACTGCAACGACGAGTAGGGATACGGATTTTGAAGATCCACATTGTTCATCAAATCACATTCAGATCCTAAACCTTCAAGCTTCTTCTCCCTCTTCAATGGCCGATTCCGTTCTTCTTCTCGCTTCCTCTTGGCCTCTCCTCGCCTAATCGCGCTTCTAATCTTCTCATCGGTAACTCCGCTCTCCTCATCAGAGCCATTGTTGATTAGGGTTAACTTTTCCGGTAAATTTCTGAAAGCTCCGCCGATTGAAAGCCCTAAATCGAGGTCTAGATCGCCGCCTTCTTCACGTATCACCGCCGATTTCATCTCCCGGACAAAAATGAAATCAAGAGTAGAACAAGTGTGAGAATGAAGATTTGTGGATTTGGATTATATGGACGGAGGGATTCTCGGGAGGCGGAGCAGCGGCGACGTGGCGGCAGCGGAGGAGATGAAGGAGGCGGTGGGATTGGAAGGAACACGTAGGGAGAGAATGGAATCACAGAGATAGTTTTAGCGCAACCGAAGCCTTCGCCTCCGCCATTAATCTATTATATCTCTATCCCTGGTCAATCCTTTGACTTTATTCCACGTGTTGGTAATTCATTGGCCAAACCATTAATCTTTGAAATATTTATATTATTATTTTATTGTGGGGTCCATGTTTAACACGTGTAAACATTGAGGTCACGACACGTGGAAACAGAGGCTGCGTAAGAAGGACACGTGGTGGTGGAATTTCCCGTCCCCACAAATAATCTACGGTCTTTTTCCACGTTAAAATCTCAAAACGCGAGACCAGCTCCACCAACCATAATATGCCACGTGTACGTTACTTGTTTTCAAAGTGGGCCCTGCTGTAAGTGGTTGTAGAATGACACGTGGAGATTATACAGCTAAGAGGTGCGCCAACTTTTATGAAAAGGCCTAGTGATATTGACACGGCGACGTCACGCTGTGACAGTGTCGGAGACGTGGCAGATTTTCGGACGCGGCCTCACGAAAAGTACGTGACGAATTATTCTGTGGGCCCCGATTCATATGGCGCGTGGAATAATCTTTGTTTTTTTTTTTTTAAATTTTATTTTACTTGAGGTGCCACGTGGCTTCATTATACACTTGGAGAAGGGATACGAAATCGACGGTGATCCAGAGGCCACGACAATGTTATGCATCAGCCACCGTACAATCGACTTATTTTATTTTATTTTTTTTTTATAACTATTTTTCTTTTTGTTTGGAAATAAATCAATTTTGACCCAAATTTAAATTATAGCACATTTTTTACCCTTCATTATTAATTAAATTTTGAGTTAAAAATTAGGACCAAAAAAAAAATAATTTATACCTCTAAATTTTAAGCGTTATTTAATAATTTTATTGGTTTAAATCCTAAAACTTCATAAATAATTAATTAAAATGCGAATATAATGCAAAGTGTAAAGTAATGAAGGAAAAATGGTGATACAATTAAATTATAATGTTCGTTCTTTAAAATATACTTTAAAAATTAAGACTTTAAACCGGCATCCTCAATTGTCCTTTCACCATGCTGCAATTTGAAATCATAAAAATACAATTAGAAAACATAAATCCAAACGCCCAAATGTTTTGGGGTGTGCATGGTCTGGGTCTAGGTTGGGTTGAGAGATTTTTTTTTACCCAACTCAAAAGTTCGATCATGAGGGATTGTGTTGAGGGGTGTACATGGTCCGAGCAACATGTTGATTCAGAAGCTATAGTAAGGATTGGGTTGAGGCGTGTACATGGTCCAGGCTTCTGGGTTGGGTTGAGGGTTATACATGGTTCGGGCCACATGTTGTACATGGTTCGGGCTACATGTTGATTCAGAAGCTATAGTAAAGATTGGGATGAGGGGCGTACATGGTTCGGGCTTCTGGGTTGGGTTGGGTTGAGGGGTGTACATGGTCCGGACTTCTGGGTTGGGTTGGGTTGAGGAATTGGGTTGAGGGGTGTACATGGTTCGGGCTACATGTTGATTCAGAAGCTATAATAAACCCTAAAATGGTCAAAATATTTTGGAGTAAAGGAGTAAAAATTATTAAAACATATATAGTTGATTGGTGTTAAACACAGTGTTTTAAGTTAGGACAAAGTACCACTTTAGCAAACTCATCATTAATGTAAACTTCTTAGTATATTTTATATATTTGTATTTGGCTTGGGTCAACCCGAGAAATCGAACCAAGTCAGTTCGAGTTCAGAAAAATGAACTGAAACCAACTTGAAAATCCAATTCAACCCAACCCAACCCTTATAGTTTATGTTGGGTTGGTCCGGGTTATCAGGTTGTATGTACACCATAAAATTTATGAATTTTTAAATAATATCTGTTATGATTTAACGGGTCCTTGACATATTTAAATTTTTTTAAAGTTCAAGGACAAAACAATAAAATATGAAAGTTTAAAGACTAAACTTGTAATTTAACCTAATATTTTAAGAAATAAGCAGGTGAGTTTACCTTTTTATGTAGTAATAACAAAAGTCGGCCAAGATGAAGGATTGAATCATTTCTGCAATGAATGCTGCCATGAACCAAAAGTAACCATTGCCAACCAATAGAAAATATTGCCCACGAGAATCGTAAACCTAAAACAAAAGTAATTTAAACACCACGTTCGTAAAAAGGTCACAGTCTTACCAAATCCGTACATACTTTAGCATTTAAAAATAGAAATTGATAAACAAAACTGTTCGGTTATGGGACGAGAACAAACCTGAATAACCCAATAAGCGAAAGCTAAGAATCTAGAAATTCCCAAAGCAAACACGTAATGAGCAGTAAAAGGTTCGATCGTCTGCCAAAACATAAGAAATATACGATCGAAATGAACCGAAAAGTTAAAGTTACGATGAATCAATGGAAAATGGAAATAATTAAGAAAAAAGAGGAAATGAAATAACCTTAGCATTTTGCATTAGTCGAAGTTGAGGCAACACTGAAAGAGATTCTAAGTAAACACCGAATGCCCACAACACTCTAATGAAGCGATTATAGGGTGCGTGGGGAAAGATAA